ACAATAAAACACACAAGGTTACATTATTACCTAAAATACAGACATGCAACATATCCCCAGATAGCTTAGGTCTGAGCGCACATTATTACTGATTGGCTCTCAGACCACACACATACAGTTCAATTGCCATGGAGCCAAAGTCTTTTATTACACGAATAGGCTCCATGGCATAGCTATCTGGGTTAAATTAGTTTGTTCAGTAAATCCAAGAATCTACCGAACGCCAGAGCAGAAATACATGAATAGACCTTTCTGCATAGAAAAATAAAGTATTTAAATGCCGGTCCATAGTCAAAAGGCAGCAGGCAGGCAACCAGGCTCCTCCAATGCACAGTGGCGAGATTGGTCTCGTCACAGCATCTGAAAGTCTGAATAGCTTATCTGTTGTTTATACTAAGACATAAGTGCACAGTCGTGGGAGATTCCCGGAATTGGGGAAGTTCCATTAACTTGGGGTTACCACAGTATATTACGTACTGAAAGAGTCGTAGTATAGCCTTGAAGCTTGTTTATGCATTATTGTTATTGTAATTCGTGTGGGACAAAATGGCGCAAACATATTATGCACTGAGGCTATTGCTTGAAGAACATCTATGAAAAACAATATGTTCCATTTCTAACACCTTGTCAATTTGCAATATCTCTTAAAGACAAAGTACACAGTTTAAGAAATACAACATTTCATTCTAAAACTTGTAATATTTGCATTTGCCCATAATACTCCATGTACACAATATGCATACACTAGTAAACACACACTCTGCATTCACTACACTGACACAAACTCTGCATTCATTACACTAACACACACTCTGCATTCACTACACTGACACACACTCTGCATTCACTACACTAACACACACTCTGCATTCAATACACTGACACACACTTTGCATTCATTACACTAACAAACATTCTGAATTCACTACACTGAGACACACTCTGCATTCATTACACTAACACACACACTCTGCATTCACTAAACTAATACACTCTCTGCATTCATTACACTAGCACACACTCTGCATTCACTACATGCTAACACACTCTGCATTCACTACACTGACACACACTCAGCATTCACTACACATTAACACACATTCTGCATTCATTACACTGACACACACTGCATTCACTACACTGACATACACTCTGCATTTACTACACTAACACACTCTCTGCATTCACTACACTAACACACACTCTGCATTCACTACACACTAGCACACACTCTGCATGCACTACACTAACACACACACAGTACATTCACTACACTGACACACACTCTGCATTCAGTACACACTAACACACACGCTGCATTTATTACACACCAACACACTCTCTGCTTTACTACACTAACACACACTGCATTCATTACACACTAACACACACTCTGCATTCATTACACCATGCACATACTTTGCATTTACTACACTGAGATATACTATGCATTCACTACACTGACACACTCTGCATTCACTAAACTAACACACACTCTGCATTAACTGCACTTACACACACTCTGCATTCATTACACTAACACATACTCTGCATTCACTACACTGATACACACTCTGCATTCATTACACTAACACACACTCTGCATTAACTACACTTACACACACTCTGCATTCACTACACTAACATACACTCTGCATTAACTATACACACAGCATCCACTACACAAACATCCTGTATTCACAGTACACACACTACATCCACCACACATTCAAACACTCTGCATTCACTATACACTAACACACACTCTGCATTCAGTACACACTAACACACACGCTGCATTTATTACACACCAACACACTCTCTGCATTCACTACACTAACACACATTGCATTCATTACACACTAACTAAGAGCTCTCACATTAGAAAACGGCCCTGTATTTCTTCTACGAAGCGCAAGCAAATGTATTAACTTGTGTATTTGCTTGTGACTTGTCTCTGGTGTCTTCAGAAGTGGGATACCAGAGGACAAAAGGGCCAGGAAAGCTAATTGTGCATGTGTTTGGAGCCTGATTGTGGGGTTGCGTGTGTGTAGAGTGAGCTCATTGTGGTGTGGTGTTTTGTGTAAATAGGTTGGTTTTAGTTGTGTTGTGTTTGTGTGGCATAGAGAGTGAGTGTAGGGAGCATAGTGTGGGTGGGGAGCATAGCGTGTATAGGGGATGTAGCGATTGTGTGCATAGGGACTGCAGTGTATATGTGTATAGGTGATGTAGTGTGTGTAGGGGTTTAAAGTATGTGTGTTTAGGGAATGTAATGTGTGTTTGCTTACAGGGTATCTAGTATGCTCATAGGGGATCCAAAGTGTGTATGTCAGGAATGTAGCTTGTGTAGGCTGTGCAGTGTTTGCCTATAGGGGATCTATTGTGTGTGTAGGAGATCTAGTGTGTGCATGAGGAATGTGGTGTGTGTGTCTGGAATGTAATGTGTGTAGGGGTGCAGTGTGTGATGACTGCTGTGTGTAGTGTGTGTGTATGAGGTGTGCAGTGTGTGAATGTGTTACTAGGTATTGTGTGTGGGGAGGTTAAAGCAAATATATATGCCTTATTATTATTTTATTAATTATAAAATTTACTTTATATCCCCCCTCCTTTCTTACCTCTGCTCAGAGAGGAGTGGTCACTGTAAACCCTGGTGGTCCTGTGGTGAGTGAACTTTTGTGAGATCGGGTTGTTGCTATTGTAACCAAGGCAACACTCAGACCATGTGAGAAGAACCCAGCAGAGCTGCAGGCTAGAGCTCCTGGTTCTCCTCTCCCCTTGCCCTCCCCTGCCAGCTGCCACAGTAAGGTAAGGTGCCAGTGAACAAGTAAAGGATGTCTTTGATCTCCCCACTGGCCCGTCATGGCACACAGCAGGGCCAGCTCTTGGAGAGTGCCAGCTTTGCATGCACCGGCAGGGGAGATCTGATGACCTCAGCCAATTCAATGTTTTCCCATAGGAAAGCATTGACTTGCCTGAGATTGTCAATTTTGATAATCTCAGCCAAGGAGGTAGGGAGGGGGCAAATACAAACACCCCGCTGGCTAATCAGCATCTCCTCATACAGATGCATTAAATCAATGCATCTCTATGAGGAATGTTTAGCGTCTCTATGGATAGCGTGGAGACAGAGAATGACAATGCTGCACGTTGTGCAGCACAGATCCAGGAATCATCTATAATGGATGTCTGAGTGATTGCCACCAGAGGTATCCCTAGGCAGCAATGTAAATACTGCCTTTTCTCTGTAAACAGAAAAAAGCTTGCAGGGACATATTATATTCACCAGAACAACTACATTAAGCTGTACTTGTTCTGGTGATGGTAGTGTCCTTTTAATACGAGTGTTCAGAGTGAACAAATTGCAAGTACACATTTGGAAACCATCCAAGTCTGCTAAAGTTGTAGCTAGTTTCTGGGGGTTAATAACCTTCTACAGATTAAACCTCAGTATCTGTTAAGGTACAATGAACCACAAAAAATATCAGCCTTCTCAAAGGAGATATGGCCATTTCTTTGAAATCACTCAGTTCAGTAAAGGTCAAGTAATAAAATGACTGCTTACTTGTATAGTTACAGCTTGTCCCTGTTGAACTGAAACTGGGTCAGTGTTTCCAAACTACATTTATATATAACTTGACCACATATACTCATGTAAGTACACGTTTCCGAGAATATGACACACTTCTCATGGATGACAAATCAAAGTATGTACTGTACATTTCTGATTTAATCACTCATTTAAAAAAAAAAAGCTCCTTAGTCAGAGAAACATAGGGGGAAATCTTCGTTATGATTGGTATAAACAGACTGATACTAGAATTGATTATATTAGCCTATACATTCAAGCATATGAAAGACCTCTCATCAGTAGAGATTCAGATTTAAAGGCACACTCCAGACAACTGAAGAAAGTTAGCTTTATGCAGTGCTTTATGTGTGAAGTATGTGTCCAAGAAATTGGCACTCTTATAAATTAACCTTGCTACACTCCCTGGTTTTTAATTAGACAACCAACCTTGTTACTTCCTATTTTTTTTAGCTTAGTGGAGCTAAACCCATTAGACAGGTAATTGCTCAGAGCACTTGCATTGTGAAATCTGGGATTAGACAGCCACAAAACGTCTGGGCTGAGTTCGAAGGGGATGTCTTGCAAAGGCTTCTGACAAGAAATCTGCCAATTTTGCAAGCTTTTTTAGGTATATCATATCCCCAATGAAAAATGCATAAGGTCACTATAGTCAAAAGAACAACTACAGCTTAATGTAGTTGTTCTGATGAGTATAGTTAGTCCCTGCAGGCTTTTTTTTTTTTAAACAAAAATTCATTTTTTCGTGCTTAAGGTTACATACAGGCTTGCAACGCCTCGACAGCAGGAGCAAGCAATTCAGCGATATTCTTTGTCATGGCAGAGAAAACAGCACTTTTTTTTGTGTTACAGAAAACTAGCTAGGCATACATGAATTCACTATAATAGAGTATAAAATAAAAATACATTCTGGTATTATAAGGTATATTACAATTATCTAACATTTGCCATATAAGTGAATTTCCCCGGGTGTATAATAATGTGTGGTGGGAAAGGAACAAAAACAATTGCAATTACAATTAACCTACAAGTAGGGGTAGAACAGGCTGTCTTTAAGTATCCCACTTTTCACCCTATGCCCCTCAAAAGGTGCACATAGACCTGATGATAGAAAGAGCAAGAGTCTTGTGTCTGGGGACTCCACCAGCCCTGAGAGAGAGAGTACAGTTCCCTTCACCAGACCCATAGGTCCCATGTGAAGCTGCAGGTAGCACTTGAGCTGGACCTGGGGCCCATCGTTAAGCTTCCTTATTACATGTTGTGTGAGGGCCATCTGAGGGGAGGAGTAGCACAGTGGGAACTTCCCTTGATGAATTGGTGCTTATGGAGGCCACGGGAAACAGCATGGCACGGCCGTTTGCTTCTGCACAAGTTGCGAGGTACTTGCCTCCGTCTTCCCATCAGTTGAGCTGCGTTAAGTTGTCACCCGGTGCCTCCCAGCTTGGCTGTTTTTGGGAAAGGGCCAGATTGGAGCTGGGTTGTGGTGTCTGGCTGTGGCGGCTGCTGCTGGAGTCTGTTCCAACGTTGCGTCCAGAAGTGCTCGAAGACCTTGTTTATATGGTCTTCCAGCGTGGCCCAATATAGTGGGAGTCAGAAGTGCTGAGGGCATTGTGTCGGTGGCCATCTTGCCTCGCAGCCTGCAGTGAGCCCGCTGCGTGGGAACCATCGAGTGTGGGCAAAGTAAGTGTGGTTTTACCTCACCAGTCCAAAGGGGGTGGGGGTTGAGAGCATGCTTGGTCTCCGTAGCTCAGCTCAAGACCGAGGAGAGTGGCCGCCTCTCCCCTTCTCAGCCTGCCATAGGCCACACTTGCTTTCCAGCACGTGTCTGCCGATCACCGGCTTCAAAGTTGCTACCTTAGTTGCCACGGCTAACTTGAGTGTGCCCGGCTTATGTGTGGGTTTGAGGAAGCAGGTACTGAAGGGTAAAACCTGCTGAATTGGGGCACGGAGATCAGGCTATGTGCGACCTGCTAGTTCTGTAGTCGGGCTCCGCCCCCACCTCCCCGTAGGCTTTTTAATGTAAACACTGCCTTTTAGACATGTTCATTCGTTTTTGTACGAATATGATTTTGTCCCAAAATTCAGGTTTTTACATATTTGTTTACTAAAATGTAAACGAAAGCCCTGCAAACTAAATATAAACTAAACGAAATGGCAAATGCCGAATGCATTACATTTTAATTTTGTTTTGTTCATTTAATAGACTCCGTGCTGCAGGGGAATTAACCCCCACAGCACAGAGAAAATAACACTTGCGCAAAAAACAAACAAAACAAGGAGGGAGCCGTCAGCGCTACCAGCTCCCTCCTTGTAATAATATTAATTCCTCCCCCCCCCATTGGGGTCACTATTTATATAGGGTCTCCACTTGCTGCTCATGGGTGGGGACCAGGGGGGACATTAGGTCCCCACCATTTTCTATTTATTTAGGGTCCCCACCCTCTGCTCATGTGTGGGGACCAGGGGGGACAATAGGTCCCCCCTTTAATTAATTAGGGTCTCCATCTGCTGCTCATGGGTGGGGACCAGGGGGGCATTAGGTCCCCCCATTATTTATTTATTTATTTAGGGTCCCCACCCTCCGCTCATGGGTGGGGACCAGGGGGCACATTAGGTCCCCTTTAATTAATTAGGATCTCCATCTGCTGCTCATGGATGCATCATTAATTAGGGCCCCCCCCATAATTAATTTGGGTCCCCCCATTAATTAATTAGGGTCACCCCCATTAGGTCCCCCCTTTAACCCCTTAAGGACCAAACTTCTGGAATAAAAGGGAATCATGACATGTCACACATGTCATGTGTCCTTAAGGGGTTAATTAATTAGGGTCCCCACATGCTGCTCATGGGTGGGGACCTGGGTGGGACATTGGGTCACCCCACTATTTGTTTATTTAGGCTGCACGCTGTTTAGGTGACATGCCCCTACTACATGGGGGGACCTGGCACAGGTAGGGACATGCAGCAGGATTTAGCCTGTGCCAGGTTCCCCCTTATTGCACTAGTGACTGGGCTGCAATAGTTGCCCAGTCACTAGTAATTTTTAATTTGTTTAGACGACATGCCCCTACTTGCGGCATGCCCCGATTAGGGGCTTGCGGGAGGATTTAACCTCCCTTTTATCAATATGGGGGTCATATTGACCGCCATACTGATTTATATTTAGTTTTAAATGACAGCGAGCAGCTGTCCCCCATAGGTTTTAATGCATAGTAACCCCCATAGGTTTTAATGTGGGGGGAGGTAGGAATGGTTATTTATTACAAGGAGGGAGCTGGTAGCACTGCCGGCTCCCTCCTTGCTTTCTTTTTTTTTGCGCATGCACAGTACTGTTTTCATACTAAAGGACCAAAAACTAATTATTTTTTAACAAATTTTATTGAAAACAAATTTTTGCATGCAAAATTCAGGATCGATTAATTAAACTTTTATTTAGGACAAAATCATTTGTACCAAATGAAAATTTCACTGATGCACATGTCTACTACCTTTTCAGAGAAATTCACATTTTATTCGGCAAACAAAAAAGGGGTGAAACACAACCCAAAAAACACCTACACATGTGTGCGATTAACAATAATTAAAAAACAGAGTCTGAAATAAATGTATACTTTACAGGCAATCCTTGTGGACTGTGTTTTGAGCCATGCAGTACTTTTTCAATAGCGCATGTTCTGTTTTATCTTACTGTTTTGTGTTCTCTTGAATAGAACAAAATGTGCCAGATGTATGTATTATATGCTGAGCTTCTTTCAATACAGTTGGCTTGCTAGGCCTTGTAATTTTTACTATCCTTGTTGAAGTACTAGGATATTCATAGTCCTTTGCTATGGTTTGAAGCTGTGCAGTGTGGAAAACAGTTTCCCTGATCTTGCAAGGTTTGAATTGGTGGGCAGATACTTTTATTTAGTACACCTGCTCTTACAAGTCTAAGACGTTTATTTCTTCTTAAGTAGTCCTGCCCTCAGGCTTATAAAAGATAGAACACCATGGGATGTGTTACGAATGAAGTATGCCAGTTAAAAATACAAAATCCCCACCTGAGAGGTCGCTATTTTGGCTTGTTACATAGTTACATAGTTACATAGCTGAAAAGAGACTTGCGTCCATCAAGTTCAGCCTACCTCACATTTGTTTTTTGCTGTTGATCCTAAAGAAGGCAAAAAAAAAACAGTTTGAAGCACAATTTTGCAACAAGCTTGTATTGATTGATTACAGATTGCTGCTAAAGGTTTTATGGGTGCTGTTATTCAAAGGGAGAAACAGGATTTGATGGAAACAGGAAGTGTGTCTTATGATTATATTATTAAAACAGCAATGATTATACATGAGTGATTATAGTCAACACACTTTTTGACTGTGTGGCATATACCCCAGTGAAACAGTATTTACAAGGGGATTAATCAGCGGATATATACTACTGTCATATGCAACAGTTGGACTGGAGGTTTGTTTGAACCCTTTAGCTGTCATGAAGATAACATGTAGGGCTCTTAACCTTGAATCTGTACTCCAGCTCTCCATCATAATATACTGTACATTTATTCAAAAATATAGAAAGTTTCAATATAGGTTTACCCATTGTAATAAATAGGATTACAGAAGTTAAATGGACACTATAGTCACCAAAACAACTTAATGGAGTAGTTTTGGTGTATAGATCATGCTCCTGTGGACTCACTGCTCAATTCACATTTGACATTTAGGAGTTAAATCAGTTTTGTTTCTGTTTATGCAGCCCTAGCTACACCACCCATGGCTGTGGCTGACACAGCCTGCAAGAAAACAAAATGGTTTCATTTTCAATCATATGTAACTTACTTTAACATTTTTGATCTCCTGGTCTGTAAATTGAACTTTAATTACATACAGCAGGCTCCTGTGGGGTCTAGCAAGCTATTAACAGAGCAGGAGATAAGACATTCTATATTAAACAGAATTTGCAATAAAGGAAGTGTAAACATTAGATTACACTTTCCAGAAAGTGTTTAGGAAGGCTGTGTAAGTCACATGCAGGGAGGTGTGACTAGGGATGTATATTCAAAGTGATTTAACTTCTAAATGGTAGTGAATTGAGCAGTGAGACTGCAGTGCCATGATCTATACACCAAAAGTGCTTCATTAAGCTAAAGTTGTTTTGGTGAATATAGAGTCCCTTTTAAATATAACAGCCACTTCTAGAGGTCATTGTCCCTTTATCCCAGTAAATGCTGGGATCTTGGATCTTGCACCTCCCCCCACACCCCTCCCCCCCCCCACACAACGTGGAACGATTCAATAGATACTTAGACAGACATATACACTGACAGACATACTGACACATAAACACACAGTCAGACCTTCTAATGCACATATATTCACTGACAGACATACTGACACATGCACACACAGTCAGACATTCTAACACACATATATATTCACTGTCAGACATACTGAGACATTCACAGATACATATTGACACACAAAGACATACACTGACACACAAATATATACTGACTGACATATTGCCACACATTCAGACATACTAACACACAGAAACATACAGACATACTGACACACACAGACATACACTGACATACATACTGACACACACACAGACACTGACAGATAGACATGCTGACACACGCAGACACATACACTGACAGACATACTGGCACACACACTGACAGACACACACACAGACACATACACTGACACACACACAGACATTGACAGACAGACATACACACACACACACAAACACACAGACACTGACACACACTGACAGACATGCTGACACACACAGACAAATACACTGACAGGCATACTGACACACACACAGATACTGACAGACATGCTGACCCACACACAGACACTGACAGACAGACATGCTGACATACACAGACAAATACACTGACAGGCATACTGACACACACAGACACTGACAGACCTGCTGACACAGACACATACACTGACAGACATGCTGACCCACACACAGACACAGACAGACATATACACACACACACACAGACACATACACTGACAGATATACATGCTGACACACACATACACATACACTGACAGATATACTGACACACACAGACATTGACAGACATACACACACACACACACACATACACTGACAGACATACTGACACACACGCAGACACTGACAGACAGACATGTTGACACACACAGACACACACACTGACAGACATACTGACACACACACAGACAGACATGCTGACACACAAAGACACATACACTGACAGACATGCTGACACACACACAGACACAGACAGTCATACACACAAAGAGAGACACATACACTGACAGACAGACATGCTGACACACACAGACACGTACACTGACAGACATGCTGACACACATACAGACACAGACAGAAATACACACACACACACACACAGAGATGTGATGTATGGACTGTTGGGCTGTGTATGTGTGTGTGAGTGTGTGAGTGTATGAGTGTATGTATTGTGATGTATGGGCATTGGGCAGTTGGGCTGTTGTTGACTGTGAATGATGCACTTCCTTTCTTTTGGTTTTTTACTTCCTGTTTCTGTTGGCAGTTTGTGAAATGTTCCAGGGAATTGAAATGGCAGCTACAGAAACCCTGTGTAACAA